GAAAGTGGCCGTCTAGGGCAGGAGAGCTGCCAGCCTGGCCACCCAGGAGCAGGCGTGCATGAAAATCAAGGTGTTCCACTGAGACCCCCGACCCTGAGCCCTGAGCTTACAATGGCCGTACTGGGTCAGACCAAAGGTCCATCTATTCCAGTAGCCTGTCTGCCGACAGCGGCCACCACTAGGGACCCTGCAGGGGTTGGACTGAAACAATGACCAAGCCATTTGTCTCGTGCCATCCATCTCCAGCCTTCCACAAACAGAGGCCAGGGACACCATTCCTACCCCCTGGCTAATAGCACTGCATGGACCCAACCTCCATGACTTGATCTCACTTCCCTTTAAACTCTGTTCCAGTTCTAGCCTTCACAGCCTCCTGCAGCAAGGAGTTCCACAGGTTGACTCTTTGCTTTGTGAAGAACAACTTTCTGTTACTAGTTTGAAGCCTGATACCCATTCCTTTCCTTTGGTGTCCTCTAGTCCTTCTTTATGGGAACTAATGAAGAACTTTTCTGTATGCACCCTCTCCACCCAACTCCTGCTTTTAGAGAACTCTATCCTGTCCCCCCTCCGTCTTCTCTTTTCTAAGCTGAAAAGTCCCAGTCTCTTTAGCCTCTCTTCATATGGGACCTGTTCCCAACCCCTGATCATTTTAGTTGCCCTCCCCTCTCCCACCCTCTCTCTTCCCCTCTCCCACCTCCTTTTCCCAGTCTCCCCCAGTTTTGTTCAATAAAGACAGATTCCATTTTTAACACAATTGTCCTTTATTTTGTACATCAAGAAGAGGGGCTAGGGAGGGGTAAGTGGAAGGAGGTGACGGAGGAATGGGGCACGAGCCCCGGATGGGGAGGACTGGGCTGGCTCTGTGGGCTTCTGGGGGTGGAACCTCTCCTGCAGCCCCCCAATTGCCTCCTTTCCCCAGATGGCAGCCTGCGGCAAGTGCAGCCGGTCTGATGGCCGAGTGCTGTGATGTTCCCAGTGTGGGTAGTCCGGGCACTCCAAGGCAGGACTGCTTTGCAAGCGGGAAACCCCTGAGAACTGTCTGTCCGGGGTGGGGGTCGGGACCCTTTAAGCACAGCCCTCTGCTAGCCTGAGACAGCATCTCCACACTCTAAGTCCTCCTCTGATGCCCTGCCGGCACTGCGTCCGGCCATCCTTAAGCCTGGTTCAGGGTCCACTCTGTGTGGACATGCTAGTTCGAATTAGCAAAACGTTAATTCAAACTAGTTTTTTAGTCTGGATCCGTTAGTTCGAATTAGCTTAGTTCGAATTAACGTTGTAGTGTAGACGTACCCTGAGAGACATTGTTGAGTCTGCTAGACTAGCAGTGAGTAAACAGAAAATTAAAGGAAAATAAAGACATTGCAAAGAAGCTAAGTTATTTCCTTCCTGCAGAAACTGTTCCTCAACTTCTGTGGATGTATTTAAGATGAGGCAGCTAGAACAAAGTGATAAATCCAAGAGGAACAGGTGCAGATGAAATGACTCATGGGTTTGGAAGAAATTTCCGAATGAACTAGGTGAGCTACTCATGAAGTTAAGCAATCTCATCAAAATAAGTTCTTTCCCAGAGGACTGGGGAGTGGCAAATATTGTTTCTATCTTAAAAGCACTAGGAATGGATCCTGGAATTTAAAAAAAAGAGTATGGTCTTGAATACCAGGACCAATGGTTGAAACCATATTTTAAAAAAACAGAATAATTAACACTTTGAAAAATGTGAAAAGGGAGTCATTAGCATTGCTGCTGCAATGGAAGACAGACCCAATTTTCCTGTCCTTTTGACCAGCTTCACACAAAATAGAGAACATTTGTTCAATGTGTAATAGATCTTCACATTAAAAAGAGAAGAGGGAGAGTGAAATCCTTAAGGAACGGAAATAACACTGAAAGTATTGTAATGCCATTAAAAAGATTAATGAGTCACCCTCACCTGGCTTCGTTGAATCTCTTTTTACATTTACTTAAATGACAACACATTTAATATTGATGGAAGGAAACTTTTTACCCAATTCATCTGTGGAACTCACTGCCATTAAATAGCCGCAAGGTCAAAAGTTTGTAAGATTTTTTTTAAAGGATAAAGGCTTATTGATAATGAGAACATCTAAAATACCATAGGTAGGATAAACAACAGATTAAAACCCATGTTTCAGGTCATGTTTCAAAATGATGGGAGTAAAGAAACAACATTCCCTATCCGGGGATAACTGTCGACTATAGTTTCTTGTGGACATGTGCGAGCACACTCATACCCCATCCTGTGACACATCTTGTATTGGCCACTTTTGTACCTAGAGTACTGGACTAGACAAGAGGATCCCATTGGCTGATTTGGCAATGCCTACATTCCAAGGAAATCATATGACAAATATTAACACAGTAGTACAGTTAGGTTCTTAACACTCAGGGAAGATGAAAATTAAACTGAGAACCACAAATCAGTCCCTTGTGGGTGTATATATTATAGTCCTCTTGATTCTATTCCATTCGAGGGAAAAAACCTGTATGCTGTCATATTATCTGAGAAACAGTACATGACATCATGCAAATAACACTTAATTGTATGCTTGTACAAGGGGAAGAGTAGAAGAGCTGTGGTCCAGTGCCGCCCCTTCCCCAGAGCCAAGGACTTCCAGCCCCCTCCTAACCTAATGCCTACCCCTTTCCCCACAGGCAGGAACTTCCAGGCCCCCCCCCAACCTAATGCTTCCCTCCTCCCCCAGAGCCAAGGACTTCCAGCCCCCTCCTAACCTAATACCTCTCCCCTTCCCCAGAGCCAAATGTTGTACCAAATAAAAGCAAGCAGGATCTTATGAGGGGGATAAGGCAAAAAGCCACATTTATTGTAAAGATAATAATAAAAAAATAAAGAAAAGATAGAAGCAAACAACATTGTTTAACTACTTAACCCTTATACATATAAACATTCATTCATCCATTCATCTCCTAACCTAATACCTCTCCCCTTCCCCAGAGCCAAATGTTGTACCAAATAAAAGCAAGCAGGATCTTATGAGGGGGATAAGGCAAAAAGCCACATTTATTGTAAAGATAATAATAAAAAAATAAAGAAAAGATAGAAGCAAACAACATTGTTTAACTACTTAACCCTTATACATATAAACATTCATTCATCCATTCATTCAGGGGCTTTCCAGCCCCTCCTAATCTAATGCCTCCTCCCTTCCTAGAGGCAGACACCTCCCAACCTAATGCATCCCACCTCCCCCAGAGACAGGCAGGCCTCAGCCCCCCACAACTTAATGCCTGGATTCTGGAACCGCCTTCCTCACATTGCTGTTGCTGCCACTGCCACGCTTCCTTAGGCGCTGGGGTAGTGGGACTAAGCAGCCAGCTGGCTGTGATCACATGCTGCGGGCCCCGCGCACA